GGCTTTTCCCCGTCTCTGTGCTTTTTAGGGCTATTTTTATTTCTTCTTGTGTAATTTCTGCTTCAAGGGAGTTTAATTGATCTTCTATTAATTTCGGTAGACCCGCATTTTTTAAATATATCCCTTTTTTTCCTATTTTCCATTTCCCTATTATTTAATGCGTCATAGGGATTGATATTATACAACTTTCTATAATAATCCATGAAGACCTTTGCAATCTCCTTATTTGAATGAACCAGTTCTCCCTTAGGGTTTTTTATTTTATCGATATAATTCCTATTTTTTTCTTTAGGCTCTCATTAGAAATTTTCCCGGCCTATCTCCCCATCTATATCTCTCACCTAGCACTTTGTTATAGACTCTCCTTCTCTCCTCTTCCATCAAGGTCTTTAACTCCCCTTTTTTTTTATTATCTTCTGCTTTATTTCTTTTGCTATACTATTTTTATGTGTCTCTTCCAAATCAGATATATCCTTTAGGAGCCTACTGATTTTCTCTCTCCTTTCTCTTTTCTTTCTTGCCCCAACTGCAATTAGGATACCTCTTATATATGCCTTATGAGACTCCCATACTGTAGCTATCGATACATCCTCTGTCTCATTCTCTCTAAAAAATCTCTCAATTTCTTTCCCAATCCTTTGGGTGGTATCTTCATCAAGGAGAAGTGCTTCATTCAACCTCCATCCCACCCCCTCCGTTTTCCTCCTTCCCCATCCCATTCTCAACACAACAGGGGCGTGGTCTGAAAAAGTCATTGCTCCTATATCTACTTTGACCATTGATTCTAAAAATCGATGTTCTATCATAATAATCCAACCTTGAGTACGTCTCATGTGCATTTGAGAAGAATGTATAGTCTCTGTCCTTCATATGCATAATTCTCCATGCGTCCACCAATTGAAACTCATGGATCATCTTCTTTAATAATCTCAGAGATCTATTTCCTTCACGCTGCACAGAAGAGGTTGTATCATTTTGTGGGTCCATACAGAAATTAAAATCCCCGGCTAATATCAAACAGCCCTTTTTAAAATCCATCAGTCTTTTTAACACACCTTTCAAGTACATCTCCGGTTTCTTATTTGGACAGTATACATTCGCTACTGTACACTCCACCTCTTGTATTTTACCTTTCAAAAACAGATATCTCCCCTCTGGGTCCTCTTGTCTATCCTCCAACTCAAATCTTATATTTTTTCTGAACCCTATTGCCACCCCTTTAGCTCTCCTGATTAGGGAATCTGCATAATACCATATTGGATAATCTCTAGATTTTAATTTAACCGGATTCCACAGGGCCACTTCTCTTTCCTTCTCAGTTTCCTTGGAAATCCTCCACAGAGTGGCTCTTGCCAGGTCCACACCTCAATGCTCAGCCAGCCAGGGATCCGACTAAGGAGCCGTATGCATGGGGAACAGCACGCATGAGGAGCAGTACACCTGGGGCAGAAAGCCACCTTCTCCCTTTCCTCCTCACAGAGTCGCCGGCCGGCTTCCTCCGCTCCCAGTGCTCCTTTGCGGTTGGGCACGTGACCCAACCCACTCTTCCGATTCCGGCAACCCGGCTCTTCGATCCGCCGGGACCTCCTCTTCCCCCTCGTGCCAGCCCAGCGCCTCCACTCTCCTGCCGAGCACCCCCGGCACTCAGGTACAGACTCTCTGCGGTGGGGTTTACTTTCTCTCCATTTAGAGGGCCCCTGGGGAGGTCAGTGGAGGAGCTTTGCTGATAGCTCCTACACCAAGCCCTCAGCCGCCGCCATGTTCAGGCTCCAAAAAAGTGCTCCTTTGTTTTAAGTGTTTTTTAACACGGAATGTTGTTAGGATATGGGATAGAATTCACAAACAAAAGGGGTGGGAGTAGAATTCATTGTTAATACCACTTGGGGGAGCAGAATTTTTTCCCCCCGGGGAAAGAGAATATTGCAGGTAAATGGATAAAAGATAGAAATGCAGATTTAAAAGATATCACTGATAATGGGGAGTTGTGTTCTTGTTTAGATTTAAAGGATAAGACAGAAATATTTTCTATGTTGGATGAGTGGCATTACTGTTAAGACATTTTGTTTCAGCGCTCCCACAGCCACTAAAAACAGAGAAGGACATGTATCCATTTGAAAAATTATTTCGTTTGGATACTATGCGAAAACTTTGCATATATATATATATATATATATATATATATATATATATAAAAACCTTACGGAGTTATCTGGAGCTGTCCTGCCACCATTCATGGATAAGTGGGAAAAGGAACTTGGAACAAAATTAAATGAACAGGGAAAAAAAGAAAATATTCAAATAAGCGCACGGTACAGTGGATATGAACACAGTAGAAATGAATTATGTTTAGCAAGGTGGTATATTACCCCCAGTGTGGCACATAATTTACAATCAGAGAATTCACTTTTATGTTGGAGAGGATGTGGGATGAAAGGTACAATGGCACATATTTGGTGGGAGTGTCCTAAAATACAAGACTTTTGGCAAGGAGTAACACAACAAATACAGGAGATATCGGGGATCAATGTATTGAAAGATCCTTGGGTTTGTTTATTCCACAATTGTGATTTAACGGTGAAACAATAAAAGAACACGATGACATTTTATTTATTAAATGCGGCTAAAGGTTTGATCCCTAGATTCTGGCAGAATCAGGAAACCCCCGAAAATAAAAGACTGGATAAATAGAGTAGAGTTTATATATAAGATGGAGGAATTATATAATTCAGGAAAGGATAAGACTGAAAAAATCAATAAAATTTGGGATAGATGGAAGGACTTTAAGATATCCAAGAGATAGAACTGATTGGAATGTAAGGGAGAGGAAGAGCCAAGGATAGTAATAAGTATCTAGTTATTGGATGGAAGAATAAGATGGTAGGACCAAACAGTGGAACAAGAGAGGAAGAGAAAGAAAAGATATAAAAGAAAGGAATAAAGTAGGAGGTGAAGGAAAGGGGGGTGGGGAAGGGTAATATGGAAACTTTGTTATGGAAATGGTTGATAGTAAATGCATGGAAAATTTTATGTATTTGTAATGTAAAACTAATAAATATATAATAAAAAAAAATAAAAGAAAGAAATGGCTCAATATTTTGTGGACTGTTCTTTTTGGGTCTAGGGGCCGCAGACAGTTAGTCAGACGACCCCCAAACACTGAATTCAAGCCATAGTACACTGTGAAGACAGTGAAGCATGGCAGCACAAGCATCATAATATGGGGATATTTCTCATACTATGGGGCCTCTTTATCGCATACCAGGGATCATGGATCAGTTTGAATACTTGAAGAGGTCATTTGCTGCCTTATGCCTTTGAAATGGGTGTTTCAACAAGACAATGACCCCAAACACAACAGTAAGCGAGCAGCATCTTGGTTCCAAACCAACACGATTAACGTTATGGAGTGGCCAGCTAAATCCCCGGATCTTAATCCAATAGAAATCTTGTAGGGTGGCATAAAAAAAAAATGCAGTTTCTGAGGTAAAACCAAGAAATGTAGAGGAATTGTGGAATGTAGTGAAATCATCCTGGGCTGGAATTCCTGTTCACAGGTGTCAGAAGTTGGTTGACTCCATTCAAAACATGTGCAGCAGTTCTTAGAAACAGTGGTTTTACAACAAAATAATAGTTCAACTATTCAAAGGAAAGCTAAATCTTCGAGCATTTTTCAGTTTATACAGTAAATGTTTGAGTTTGTAAAGAAAAATGCAGACACTTTTTTCTTTGAGCAGCCTAATATTCCTTTTTCTTCACTTTCTGTAAAGTAATAACAAATTTGAAACATTTTTCTTCTTTTTTTTGGTAATTCCTTTATTTGTACAAGTAACACATACAAAGAAGAAACACACAATTTTGTACAGGATATTTAGAAATAGATTGTCATAACCAGTAAAACAAGGCATAAGTGGCATACAGTCACAACTGGAAAGACATGTCATGAAGAGCATCATGAATCAAGGATATGGTAATGGTATGTGGAGGTAGTCTTGAAGTGTAGAGGGAGGGGGCAAACTGTGAAGTGGGAAGGGATTCCCCAGTCACAGCTGACATCTCTAAAACAGCATGGGCAACATTGTCGACCCTCTACACAAGTCAATCTGGCGTGCAACAAAGAGGCTGGGTGTAGAACCCAAAGAAGTGAACTGCGGAAGTGGGACAGGGAGGGGGGAAGAAGGGGGAAGGAGAGTAGAGGGAAGGGTCATGGGGAAGAAGAGCCAGTTGGAGAAAAAAAAAAAGAGAGGAGAGAGAGTAGAGCAAAAAATGTAAGGTGTACCTCCTCTCCTGGAGAGCGTGGAGGGCTAAAAAGAGTGAGCTTCAATGGGGGGAGAGAGAGCTCATTCAGGTAAGTGTTTGTAAAGACAAAGTAGTCCCAGGGGCGCCAGGTGTCACAAAAGGATTCTTCTTTATTATGCAGGGAGGCTGTAAGGTTTTCCATGTCAGACACCGTTTTTTGTAACTGTGTTTTTGTCATTATTAACCACTTGCCTACCAGGCACTTATACCCCTTTATTTACCAGGCCAATTTTCAGCTTTCAGCGCTGCCGCACTTTGATTGACAATTGCGCGGTCATGCAACATTGTACCCATATGAAATTTTGATCATTTTTTTCTCACAAATAGAGCTTTCTTTTGGTGGTATTTAATCGCCACTGGGCACTTTACTTTTTGCGCTATAAATAAAAAGGTGCAAAAAATTTTGAAAAAAAAAAAAAAAAGTTTCATTGTTTCTATTATAAAATTTTTCAAACAGGTAATTTTTCTCCTTCACTGATATGCGTTGATGAGGCAGCACTGATGGGCACTGATAGGCGGCACTGATAGGCAGCACTAAAGGGCACTGATAGGCAGTACTAATGAGGTTGCACGGATAGGCGGCACTGATAGACAGCACTAATGAGGTGTCACGGATAGGCGGCACTAATATGCAGCACTGATAGGTGACACTGATGATGGGTACTGATAGGCGGCACTGACTGGCATCACTGCTGGGCACTGACTGGCGGCACTGACTGGCACAACCGCTGGGCACTGACTGGTGGCACTGACTGGCAGCACTGCTGGGCTGCACTGGTGGGTGGCACTGGTGGACAGCACTGTTGGGTGGGCACAGGTGGGTGGCACTGGTGGGCACAGGTGAGTGGCATTGGTGGGCACAGGTGGGTGGCACTGCTGGGCACAGGTAGGTGGCACTTCTGGGCACAGGTGTGTGACACTGCAGAGTGGCACAGGTGGATGCACTGCTGGGCACAGGTGGGCGGAGTTAGTGGGCGCACTGCTGGGCACAGGTGGGCGGAACTTGCGGGTGGCACTGCTGGGCACCGATCATCAGGGCACTGATCATCAGTGCCCTGATGATCGGTGCCGATCCTCGCTCTGACAACTGCCGGTTCTCGGCAGTACTTTCCTCACGATCTGACAGCGTGAGGAAAGTGCAGCCGAGAACCGGCACTTGCATTTCCCTCTGATCAGCGTGTCATTGGACACCGCTGATCACGTGGTAAAAGGCCGCTGTGATTGGTCTTTTACCACATCACGTGATCAACTGTGTCCGTAGGACACAGCGATCACGGAGATCGCCGGGTGCGTGCCCCCTGGGGTGCGCAGGAGAGCGCGTTCTGGGGAGGACGTCATATGACGTCCACTCAGAACTGACCGGCCGCAGTGCAGCCGTCATTCGGCTATCTGCGGTCGGCTACTAGTTAAAGCAGTGTTTTTAAGAAGTACTGCACCATGAGCTTATTTTTTTATTCCGAGTGGCCATTCCAATACCTCTTAAATAAGATGGGATGTGAATATAGTGGATCTTCAGAGTCTTCTGCAGAGTATTGCTCCAGGAAATAGTTTTCTTCCAAGCCAAAGCTGTGCTTCAATTGTCTGCAGATCGTTGCTCACAGAGCAAAAAAGCGCTTATGCTGGTTTATAATTTAATCAGCATATTGCTCTGGTGAGTTTATTCAGTTCATTTGGTGGTGGATTCACTTGGTGGATTTTATTTCAAAAAGGAACTTTCATTTTCATGTTTTTCATTATCACATATTTTTTGGGACTTTTAGAAGTGATTTATATTTTGGGACTTTAAGAATATTTCCTTAGGATTGATATGTTTTAGATTTTATATATATTTTTTCTATCAATGTCACAGTATATATTTTGTGTTTTAGATTTGGTACTAGCGCTTTTTTTTTTTTTTTTTTTACATTTGTGTGCACCTTCACAAAGATTAGACTTTGCAGCTGGTTTAGTGGTTAATTAGGGTCTACATTATTATTTCTTTATTTTTGTCTGGAGCCATCTATACTTATTCAGTCAACCCAGTGTTTAGTGTCACCGTGGCAGTGCCAGTAAACCAGGTGTGAAAGATGGACGGCTCTGTAAAAGAGGGTACATCGGGCAAGGCTCACCCCCCCCCCCCCCCCCCGTAGTTCTCGGGTAGGGTCAAAAGATACATGGCCAGGTGAGGCTTCTTTTGGAAAGGCTCAGAACATTGCACTGACTTTTTAAAAAAATTGCAAAGGCAGCTGAATGGGTAGGGCCTGCAATAGACACAGTATAGGGGGAAGTACTGTCATTTTCAGTGCATTACAGCGACCGAACCACGTCAGGGTAAGAAGTGCCAATGGAGTAGGTCATCTTTACTTTTTCCAAGCAAAATTGGCTTGGAAAAGGTGAGAAAGGTCAGATGTGATATTATTACCTAAATACAGAATAGATTTGGAGGCCCAACAGAAAGAAAAGAAAGGACGGAGATGTTTAATTACACTGGGATCAGCGGAAATATTTAATGCTGAAGATTTTGCTAGATTGACTTTGAAGTATGAAAGAGTACTATAATCCTGAAGAGCCTGCAGAAGATTAGGTAAGGAATTAAGGGGATTGGTAAGAAAGAAGATCAGGTCATAGGCAAACGCTGCTACCTTACGTACAACTGAGGGCTTGCTGTACCCAGTGATATTGGAATCAGCGTGGATCATGCACAGCAAGGGCTCCAGCATCAGGATAAAAATCAACGCAGAGAGTGGGCACCCCTGGCATAGCTTTACCCTTAGCCAGGGAGTTATATGCGGCTACCATACTGGGGAGAGAGCACGTCGAGCAAGGTCCTGTAGGCAGCTTTTTTGGGTTTGGATTCTGAGAGTGCCACACAGAGTTCCTCCACTGTAATCAGAGCGTTCAATTCCTTACAGACTGAGGGTGCAAGGGAGGGTATGCCCGACGAGGCAGAGTAGGAATGGGATTCCTGAATGTTTGAGGGATAGCCCTGGAGGGGTTCTGGGGTTATATTGTACAGGGTATGGCAAAAGGAGTAAAATTAGGAGGCCATAAAATCAGAAGTAGAGCATTTCTACCCAGAGGCATACATGATACTGTATGTGGGATGTATGATGGGTTTCGGACGCCACGGAGTGCCCAGGCAAGGAGAGTGCTGGGTTTGAGAATTTGTATATGGTTTGTGGAGACCAAGCCATCTTTTGTTTCACCTTGTGAAAGAGAAGAAAATTAAATTCCTCTTGAGTCTTGAGACTCAACATGAGAGCAGAGTTCCTGGTAGGTGGTCCTTGCTAGGCTTGCTTTGTGAGCACCCGCCAAATGTCGATGGCAGTACAGTAAAGTATCGACCAGAAGGGAGCGCTCCCGCTTAAGTTTGGCACCAAGTGCTATAAACAGTATTCCTAAGGACTGGCTTTTAGGCCTCCCAAAACATGAGGAGTCCACTGAATCGGTGTTTAGGGAGAAGTGTTCTGAAATGGAGCACTCTATTGCTGCCCTTACTTCGGGGGATTGGACAAGTGACTTATTTAGGCGCCATGAAGGGGGGCTATGGATGACTGGCCCCAATTGCAAGTCCATAAAAATGGGAGCATGGTCTGAAAAAGTGATGTTGCATATATGGGTCAACAGAACCCACGACAGGTCTTTCTGTTGGACTAAAAAAAATAGTCTAGGCGTCAATATGTTTGATGTACCACCTGTTGCAGGAGATGGAATTCCGCCTTACGGCATTGAAGGCAGGAGAAGGTGTCAAGGTCCTACCTTTTCCCAGAGGTTATGTTTCTCCATGTGCTGGCATCCATGTTGGATTTCTGCAGAGCATGATGGGAATCTTTTATGCCTTCTGGTTTCTGAGGTCCATCCCCCAGAGGGGGATATATAAGCCTGTGGTCCGCACATGCCCTTTGCACTTGTGTCTTGTGTCTTTGTGTTGCTATAACTCTCTTCTGACTCTCGTGACTCTCCTGGAATCTGACTCGGCTTGTGACCTGACGATTCTTTGAGTTCTCCTTTGATCTGACCCTCCGTTGCTGAACTCGGCCCGTGACCCGTGATTCTCGTCTGCTGTCCTGTACCGTTTTGTCCCGTTGTTGTCAACCCGGCCTGCCCGACTACTCTATTGTCTTTTCCACCAGCTACACGCCATTGGCGGCGGCCATTACCGCAACTGAGGTGTCTTGGGGGCCGTGACCTGGCTGCGTCAAGTCCATCCCCACCATCAGGGGCCCTGGTGAAGGGCAGCCTGGGACTTAGACTCTGCGCCCTGGGGGACTTCGGTCTGTGGGTGGTGGTTGTTGCCAGCCAGTGCGTTACATTGTTATTAGGCCTGCCTGTCCGTTCCTCAGCTCCTGCCCTGACAGAAGGAAAGATGAGAGGTGTCCTTGGAAACATCAAGAAGGGGATCCAATGCTAAATTTATATAGCCGCCAAACATCAGAGTCCTGTCCATGAAGTCCAGCAGTGCTGGGAGCAAGCTCCACAAGAAAGAAAAATTATTTGCATGTGGGAAGTATACATTAACGAGGGTGACTGTAAGCTCACCAATCCTGCCTTTGACAAGGAAAAAAAAATAGATCATGCGGGTCCTGTTGTACAGTGGTGAGGTATGAAAGCCACCTACGTCTTGTTTTTTTAGGTCCGAGAGGAGCCTAGAACTCTTTTATGGGACATTGAGGCCTCAACCATTGAATGAAGTATCCATATTGGGTAGTGCCCCAAGAGTGCAATCTAGAAAAAGACAAAGGAGACGCCCCGGGAGAGGGTGGTATGGAAAAGAATATGAATGCAAAGGCTAGGAGAAGAACATGAGAGCAGAGGAACAAAGAGAAAAGGGCAGAAAGAGGGGAGGAGAGGGAATACGGGGAGGGAGGGAAGAGGGGCAGAGAATGAAAAAGAGAGCAAAGAGGGGGGATAAGCAAGAGGGGAAGAGGGCAGGAGATGAATGTAAAGCCTCAGCAGAGGGACCACTGAAGTCTAGACATTGAAATGTATGAGAACACTAAGGAACTTAGAGACAGAGGGGACCACGTTGTTGGGGAAAGATCAGGAACAAGTCTAAATATAGTAAATACTATTTCACTGTAGGAGTGCTCAAAACACTCCCACCAGGGAAAAACCCTAATGGGGGTAAGCAGGACGACTAAGGTTCATATGAGGTGAGAGATGCTCGGAACAGTCTATCCAGACTAACAGAAATAAAGATGAATTAGAGACTGTTAACTCGTAGCCAATGGCTACGAGGCTATACAGGATCCAGACTGGTTCTAAGAAGTGTGTTTGGCGTTGGCATGATACTGGACTACAGCAGAGGGCTGGACATCTATAGAGAGCCTGCCTGATCCAGCCATCCCAAAAGATTCCAGAGAAGGGAGATCCTGTATTCAGGCACCTGCACCCATCCATCCCACATAGGGATCTCTGGCCAACAGGATCTCCTTACCACCCCGTGTGTTCCTGATACATCCACTTAGAGGGAGGATTATCTCTGTGTGTTCCTGACCAGATCAACCACACTGAGGGAGAATTTTTCCCCATGCCAGACCAGACCCTTAAAAGGAGGCTTCTGTGGATTTTTCTTAATGCACATTTATATTGTGCATCTGGTGAGTGCACAATCTCTCTATATTACTTGGAAACGCCACTACAGATTTAAAGGGGAACACATATCACTATATAGAGTATAACCTTAATTCAATATTTTGGTTATATATTATATGCTGCTCATTTAATATGGGACGTATAATCACAAATCCCAGCATTGCAATTTATTTATTTATATTTTGATTTGTATATTACAATCTATT